GATTCCTATTCGTCACCATAACATGACTTCAAATTTAATTTTATGACTCTTCAGCCAATCATAAAACTCGGTTCGTAAAAATTATTCAATACGAACCGCCAAGTCTACAGTCCACGTGAACTAGTTCGTTGCCGGTTCATTTCTATGTATTGGAGCACTTTAAGAGTGCACAATATCGTTTACTTCGACTTTACAAAATATCGGTTGCACTCCTCATCAATTAAGTTAATGAATCATTACAAGAGGGTGAACCTTTTTCCAACTCCATTACCTAAACAGAAACAAAACACCAGCTGCTGCATTATTACAAAGTACCCGAGTAAATTAATATACTGATTAGTTAATAAACCGTGTTAAGTCAGTGAAATCCAAGGGTTACTGCACGTATCAAGTTGGATTCAGAGTTGAACATACTCATATAGGTGGGAAATTCATAGACATAACTTACATGAAACCACCTAGGGAAATTATAGTGAATTTATCTACAAGTTGTTTCGAGAAATTCGAAACGAACTTAAAACTCATCCCTCTGATCGAGGTAGTGAGGTGCAAGATGAATGCATATTCTATTAATCATATTCAATACTCAATACAGGGTATTCCACAGAAAATAATATGTTTAAAATATGTTTTTCCGTTAACCAGTTGTCGCACCCTTACGAACGACAACCCTCAGAGTTCGAAACTTGAGCGAGCTAAGGACTAACGAGGTCTTACCTTTCACCGTGTGATTCCTAACACGGGTTGGACGATAGCAAGTGAAAATCGATCGTTCAGCCTGGGGCTTGAACCACCGACCGAAACGGCGGTCAATTTGAGTGAGTGAACTCACTCACTCATGAATATATGTCTACATATGGTGAACTATAGGGGAGACCGGAGTAAAGCGGCCACTCTGGAGAAAATATTCTATGGTGAATTCAATGGATATATGCAATTTCAAACGATATTGAATTCAGTGTAGAAATGATAGGCATCAACAAATCAATTCTATTTTGAACAATATTTTTGGAATTTTCCATAGGGTGAAGTGGCCAGAAATAACAACTATAAGCTGTCATGAAAAATAAAACCTGCTATATTTTCAACTAATTTTAATGCGGTTTCATCGTATAATTTGTTTGCACTTGAGCAGCATCTGTTCATTGGTTCAATTTCTTTCTTCTCTTCACATCAAAACTTTCATAATTGTACTCCAAACGAAAGACCCTGAACAGAGAAAGATACCTATGAGCAATGCTGTTCAAATTTGGAAAATGGTCAGAAGAAAAACCTGAAGTGCCAAAATTTTTGAAATTCCCCTTCTGGGTTGGGTCTATCAATGTTGATGTACTATAAAATTCTTATGAGCTGTGGAATTCTATTCTAATATGAAGCATAAGATGCTTTGCGGTTGAACATATATCTATCTCAAATTCGACAGTAATAGCATGCGTACACTTCACTATGACATTTTGATATGAATCTTTGTATCATATGGTGGAGAATGCAAAATAATCAGCTGTACCTACTACTTTTTCTTACTATCTAAGAGCAAAAGAAAAAAAAGACAACCTGTCATGATGAAGTGACTCCATCATGATGAATTCAGTTGGTTTAGGCTTCCGATTGTATGGTTTAGTACAACAAGGCATCTGAGAGATCAATGCTGAGCTCACGAGCTGTTGAATGCTTTGCAATAATAAATTCAAGGCTTGTTAGTTATGTTTTTACTGCACTGAGTCTTGCATGGTACATTCTGTTGAGAATGTCTTTCTTTCAGCAAACATTCTCTTTCCCTGATCTTCTCTGATATATCAGTTGATTTATCTTTCAAAATTGAATCTAAAAACATCCTACACCTCCAAAGGAAATTTAGGATACAGATTATTCAATGCCAAATCTAAATTAGACAAAGGGAAGAGATCTGGTATATATCGACTAGAATGTGGTGAATTCCCCGCCATATATACAGGCCAAACTGGTAGAAATTTTGATATAAGGTACCATGAACATGTCATTTCGAATAAAAAATCATCAATGTACGAACATCTTCAAAATTCGAAACATAAAATAGATAAAGATAATTTAAAAATACTCCGCCAGTGCTAAAAAGGGAAAATGATGAATCTGTTGGAATCTATGGAAATAAACAGGTCAAAGAAAGATCCCAATTCTATTATACTCAACAAATAACTTGATCTAAACAATAGTCCCCTCCTGGACCTATAACCCAGTTCCTAAAACCTATATTTTATCAAAAATGTTCATGTTCATCGATGTACCACTATTAATTGAGGTTATCCCAGGTATAGACAATGTAGATATCAAAATATTTATGATAGATATAGGCAATGTAGGTTTACATTTGAATGTAATCTAGTTACTTTTGAAAATGGTGTAATGACCGAAACTGGTCAACAAATATAAAATAATCGTGGGAAATATACAAAAATGTGTTTTCATAGTGTATCCTCAGTGGACATGAATTTCCATAAAATAAACAAGTCGTCAATCAAAGAAGTGGATTGTGTCAAACAACCCTAGGTATCTTCATTGAAACTTTGAATTTCTGATCAATTTTCAAAACTGCATAGAAATATGTATATTCAAACCAATTTCAGGCATCCCATCAAAGTTTTTATAGCTCATTTATCAAACTGACTAACATCTAGATTTGATGACAAGTAATATGATGAATTGAAGTAGCTCCATAAATTCACTGCAGTAAAAGCGATGTAAACACGACTTGAAGCTATCCCCGAATATATATCACTGGATCCATTTGCCAAATTAGCCCTTACTCTTTTTTATTATGTTTACTATTTGCTCGCATCTCTCAGCTTTGACGAACAGATAAAACGCAAAGTGGCAAAGAGGGGGAAATGTCAATACAAAACACCACACTGAAAGAAATATAAAAACTTCGTTCTTATTTGGAATTTTCTTAGTTCTGTTTGAGTAACGTAAATGCGTTAATCCTTTGTCTCGCGTTTAGTTTTTTTTTTTGTGAAATATGACTGATATGAACTAGTGATTTAAGAAGTTGAACTGCTGACTCCATTAGGGAGGTTAGTCTAGACCGCAGACTCTTGAAAGGGGCGATTCTGGCCTTCACATTTATGAACATCAATTTTTCAGGATGAGATATGGAATAATCAACAATATTGCAGACTATTTTCTACGTCACCTAATGGGAATCCATTTCTCTTGAAAGCAAAAAAGAGACTGCTGATGAAATTGAATTCATTCATATTGACGAATGATGTTTTGCTTCTTCGCCATGTCTAACAAACTACTGTGTATTTTTTGAATTACTTTGTAGTGGTTTTCAGGTTTTATGATTATATAAAAATGTCGATACTATTTTTTTAAGGACAAAACACAAGCACAACAGCAAAAACCTTAGGACACTCCGGAGCGGTACCTGTGCGAAAGTAGCGGTTCACATTGGATTTGAATCGCTGGAGAAGAAATCCATTCGGAAAAACGTTCTCAGGGAGTTTATTCCACATAAACGCAGTTCTCCAGATGAAAGAGTTCTCAAATAGTGAAGTTTGACGTATACTAAGTTGATTGACAACACTATTATCAGACACAGTTCCTCGCTTGTTTCTGATATGTACCGCTCTTGGTGGAATCAAATGTGCCAAGTCACTTGGGCAGAGCTCTATACATGAGAACAATACTCCATACAAAGTCTGATCTGAGCTCTATAAGGCATCAAAAGTTGCTGAGGTGTGTATAGTTTTCTGTTTCGAAACAGTGTTCCAAGCTTTTGAGAAGCAACCTTTGCAATTCCAGCGCCAAGATTGTTCCAAGACATGTTGGTGTCCATTTCAACCCCCAACAAACTAATCGAAGCAGAAAGCGGAATTGTCTCACCTGATATCCGTCATGTCATATGTCATGTCTTCTTGGAGAAAACCGATGCCTGGATTTTTGTCGCATTGAATTGAACCTGGTTACTTCCATCCCAATTCGAAATCACTTCTAAATTCTTATTAGGATATGCAATCTCCTGCTGCCGGTGAAGATGTGCCTCCGAAGCCGATGTCCTGGAATCCAAATAGAATGACAGACAAGTGTGCTGTCGTCAGCAAAGCAATATATTGCAGTTTTGTTTTTTTCCAATGAGTCGTTGATGAACAATAAAAACAGGGTTGGAGACAATATGGATTCAGCGTTGATAGTGAAAGTATTCAGCCACTTGCAGGGAACGTTTCATTCAGGAAGCTATACCAATCAACTATATTTTTTTAATACAAAATTAAATAAATTTACTTTTTCATCGATATCTCTACAAAAACTCATCATCTGTTCAAAAAAAAGATCGATTCGTAAATGAGTGTCAGTATTTCTAGTCCGTCAATATTTCGTCGAATCTATTAGCACCCTAAGGCGAACTTTCATGATGAATAACGATGTTATTTATCCATGAGCAATTGGCGCAGTAGGTTGACCCGAAGAATTTTTATTGAAACTGTTATATAGTGCCTTTGAGATGTAACAAAAAAATTCGTAATATACCGAGTGACACAGACTCACGGTACACCTCCTTTTTGTCATTTTTTGAGCTGTTGTCAAGAAAAATATATACACAAAAAGCCAGTTTTTAGGTAACGGAATTTGTTTGCAACTTCCAGTTCTTCGGGAAATGACATCAAGGTTTGATTTTAAAATGGAACACCCTGTATACTATTATCATTTTGAAGTCTACATGATTTTCTAAATTCGATGGAACCGCCTAGTTCATATTTGAGTTACGTATTGAAAAACATGGTTCTATCAAGTGGTCTGCAAAATCACCCACCCTTTACCCTTCAGGTCCCCTTCAGGTCCTAGCGGGTAATCGAAAAGTTGCTATGAAACAATGACAACAACAACTTTCGGCGTCTCAAAAAACTGTTGTTGTTACTTAGCTACTGAATACATTGTTGAAGAGTGTATTGATAATAGAAATAACTTAAGATTGTTTTTGACATAAATAAGGAAGTGAATGTGCAGCTAATTCATGGTAAATGTCACCAGTTGTACTCGAAACGATATCACGTAAGACAATGTCAGGAGAGAAACTAGAGAATTGTTTCATTGTTTCACAGTAACTTTCCTGATAATTCGCGAGGACCTTGGAAAGGTCTAAAGAGATTGAGTCAGGTGATCTTGCATGTGTTTCGTAAAAATAGCTCGAGAAATAAAGAAAAAAGAGGGATGTACCATGAGTCTCTGAGTCTGTGTCACCCGGTATATCGTTCTTCTTCCATAAGTCTACAGGAAAGTCCGCGATCGCATATCTTTCACAGATAATACAAATTTCATTGTTTGAAAAATGGTCACAAATAATATGATATTTGGAAAGCTACTTGTAGGTATACGAGATTTTATTCCTCAATGAAATCATTACTTCAGTTACCTCAAACATTTCTTGCACATTATAATTGTCCGTGACAACATACAATTCAAATCAAATTTTTCAGGAGTTACCGCAAAATTGAAATTATCGCTCAACAAAATGAGTTCAAGCGGCCTCACATACTGATGAGACACGCGCGATGTAGAAATCGTGCAATTGCATTGGTTTTGTTTTACGTAGTGAATAATTTTGAAATTGTTTTATTTTGTATTCTTCAAGTATAGATACTCACCTACTTCTTACAGTTCTCTGGCTATATAACTTTTCAAAATCTGAAAAAGAAACAAAGGTAAATCCTGTAGTTTAATAAAGGGCAATTTGAAAACTTACTGCGTGATATCAACCACTGAAGAGTCCAATTAGTTACTGTTCGTATTCATGAATTTTTCCTACATATTGAAAACAATTAAATTTTTATGCTCAGCTTTTTAAGTAGTCAGCGTTCCAGAAAACATATTTTTTACGTATTCAAAACCCAAAATTCACTTGAAAACGTTCGCCTCAAATTATAATTAGCTTCAATTCTTTTGACATACGTCAATACACACAGCGTTATGCTGCATTTGAAAGAGCAAACTCTCTCAAAAAAACCAGATATGGTAAAGAAAGTTCATGGACTTTGCACCACGATAACACACGATCTCACAACGCTATCATTAGAAACGAATTTCTGGCTAAAAACTCATTAAACAGCCACCATATTCACCTGATTTTTCGCCCGATTTTTTCATTTGTCAAAGGAATGGAGCCTACTTCGGAAGCGATACAATGAATTTGAATGAATAATATAAATTTTGAGATTTATTGACCGATTTCTAGTACTATTTTGACATGGTTCAATAATGATTTTCTCCTGTTTCAGGGATATGCAGCAGTAAAAGTCTGAAGGGGATGCGCCTCAACGTGCCTCGCGCGGTTCGCGCCGGTCACTCCGTCACCCTGGGGTGTGATTACGACCTGGAGGACGCACCCCTTTACTCAGTGAAGTGGTACCGCGACCAGGGCGAGTTCTACAGGTACGTGCCGAAGGAGGAGCCACCGACGAGAGTGTTCAGTTTACCCGGACTTCACGTTGACGTAAGTGGATACTTTTTGAAAGTCTGAATCTAGAAATGTGAATGTTAAAATAGAAAACTACTCCACTTTATAACTAGTTTCCTTTTTCTCCTCAAAAGGAAAACGTGTAAATTCTTCAGTGAATGAACCATTATTCAGACAGTGGAAATATTGACAAGTTAGGATAGGATAGGTCCAAAGTGAGTGGGTCTATTCGACCCTCCACCGCAACCTGCAAAGGTTTATTGTGGCTCATACCTATTCACACTCAACCAAATGAACCCAGCTTCTTGACGAAGCCAATTAGTTTGTATGGTGAGTGGTCTTTCAGGTCAGATGGTGAGAGCACGGCTCTGCCGGACTCCAAAAACCTGATTCAGTCCTCAGCGGGACAGGCACAAAGTATGTGCAAAGTATGTGCTCAAAGGCGACACACACTGTCTCCCGACAGTCCGAATCTCTGCATATGATGATTCAAATGACAGTGACCTGGAAGAAGGCCTGTTAGACATCGTAGTTCATCCCTACTGTAGTCCAACGACTGTTTGGTATCAAGCTTCGAAGGGTGAATAAACGCCTTGGAGTGAGCCAATCATGGAAGATTCTGCCAGAAGTCCATAAATCTTCATGCCATCAAGGTGTTCACTCTTTGTTTGGCACAGCCTAAAGCGATGCCAATGACAGGTTCTGGTCCAATGGAGCTGCTGGCAGCATACTCCTCTGGAAGGGAGTCAGCAGCCTCATCGCCTTCCAAGCCAGTATGGCCAGAAATCTAGACCAGAGACAATCTGTTAAGTCTTTCTATCGAGAAGAGTCGTTTTTGGCAATTCGCTACCAATCAACTAGAAAAGTTGATATCTCTGTCCTGGGTGTGCGACTGAAAACACCTGAAACAGAACTGGAAGGTGTTATTGATCCATCTGTGAACCAGCAACTATCTGCTCTTAACATTTCCTTCTCCCAGAGGATCCAGTCCTCTCTGCTCGTGAACAGTACTTTATGAGGCAGTTTGTAGTTGACAGTTGGAGGCAAAATGTCAATATCAACAGGTATTCAATATTTAATTCCTGTTCATATTTTATAACCTGCAAACGCCTTTAAATAATAGGAGCAATGTTTGGAGGCTATAATGGGGGTTTTATTAGGGGTTTTACAACTTTTGGAGAGTGAGTCGTGGAAAATATACTCTCATGTGATAGAAAGTAGATTTATTTGTTGTGCAAGCTGCAAGTAGATAACTCAACTACATTGATCCATTCAAATTCGCATAGAGAGATGGAAATGATATTTTGATAAATTATAATGTGAAGGCAAAACTTTAAACTATTTGGTTTTGGTTCGGAAAGGATGAATGTTCAGTTCTTGTTAAACAGCAGAACGTCAAACACCTCTATGTATATATACACCAGAGCTTACATATAAACTAATGGGCGGTAAGTAAATACAATTTCAATGAATTGTCACAGTAAGTTAAATGTATTCTTTCTTCTAGAATCACTGGGAAATAGGGCTGCTAATGGAAGTAAATAGTTATTAGTTGTAGACCTACCTAATGAAAGTTACAAACTTTCCTTTAATTTTATATCCGAAAATCAGCAAATAAAATTCAGCCAATAAGCAGGGCAATTTACAAACAACAAGCGGTGTGATATTATTTAAGCAAAGCAATAGAAATAAAGGAAAGAGCTCGCCTGATCAATATGTATATCTTCCTCCAATGGATATTCTCTCCTGTGGAACTTCGTTCAAACCCCTGTAGAGGTGTGTTGTGTTCATGAATGATCTCTGAGATTTTGTGGTAAGTGATGCAGTTGTAATTAATGATTTTCTAGCTACCAGAGACTTCTTGTAATATCGTTATAGAGGTAAGGATAAAGGCGAAACATCAAGATGTAGCTGAAGGCTAAGCATATAAAGAAGGAAACAGGAAAAGAAAAAGGCCTGAAACAAACTAAGGTTGTACGAACAATTCTGTGTCAAGTTCTGATTCAATTGAAAAGAGATGTCTCAATCAATAGTTGATAAGCTAGCGAAAGACGTACCTGTAGATGATGAGTGGCCTTGAGAGAAGTCTAACGATTAAGGCTACATTAGGAAGATAGAACAATTCAAATCCAAAACACTTAAGTGAGTATTTTATTTCTCAGGAATGAAAAAAGTTTAATATTCACCTCATAATAACGTATATGGCAAATCCATTTTTATTTCCCAATCCCATGAAATGGGTTAATTGTTGCGGTTGTTTGGTCTTCATGGGTATTGACGTCACAGACGAGATGCGGTCCGTTTGGAGTAAAATCATCTCCAATGACGTCACAGGTGAACCTTTTTGATCAAACCGTTCAAGTGACACATATTTTCAATATAACTCAGCAGTGATGTGAAGTTATACTTTGAAGAACTGAACATCAGAGTTTTAGGTTATCCATTCCACGTATTTGTATTTCACAAAGATTTCAGAGAATACTTGAAGCACCAATGAAATCACAAACAAGAACTGATTGACGGTGAGTAATTCAGTGACATCTGAATGGAATTGAATATGCAAATCCTATTATTCACGGGGTACTTAAACTTAGAATTTGATGGATCTCGTGGAAGCACTTATTCAAAAATGGCCATTTTTTCTTCTTTCTCAATATTTTGTTGTATTAATAAATACGCAATAAATGAATGAACATCTAGGTTGTATATGATTTTCTCCAGGTAATATACCGAATATCATAAAAAGTAAATTAACACATAACACTTGAAACAAAAATGCTCAATTGTTATGTTCTTTGAAAAGTAGGGTGCTGTAGACAATAAAGATAGTTTATCGCTTTGACGGTATTTAATTATGTATTTCGACGATGGAACGAAACATAAAATGAGTATAACGACAGGTTTTATGATCTATTAGCAATCCACTTTAATCATTGTTTATTCGATTATACGATCCGTAGGTATCTCATTTTCGAAAATTTCACGACCCATCATACCTAGATAGTCACCGGATTTATTGGGTAATTTTCACAAATCATAATACGATTATGTTTTTCTCTTGCGAAAGTGATAAACAAAGTTCTTTTCATTCGCATACCGAAGAATATAAAGTATTCTCATAAATTTGCCAAACTAATAACGGATCTTCCAATAGGGACTTTAGAACCTTGATATTGATAATGGCAATCTTGTAGAAGCTACATATGACAGATTACTTGTCATTTATTCAGTTCGTTTTGCCAAATCACCATTGACGGATTCATGCACACATGCAAATAATATAATTGTTTCATCTAAATGGGTGTTCGGTTCGGGCAACGTACCGCGCGGTTTGCTCTTCTAACGTTCGCCATAATAGTCCTACCGAGACGACTATTCGCAATGCAGTGTATAAATTTGAGTCCACTGGTTCAGTGAACGATCGAACAACATCCTTACGTCGATAAAACGCAAGATCTGCCAAAAACATCGCCGCTGTCTGTGAGAGTGTGAAGCATACTCCGAGACAGTCGCTCACAGGAACTCAAATCAAATCAAGTTTATTATTAATCTGAAGACCACAAGTGTTATAAGACAAGTCAAAAATTGGATTGTAGAAACAAAAAACAAAATCACAGGCTGAAAACTTAAATGTTAAGATGATAAGTACAAGTACAGACAGAGTACACTACAATTTAAATATCAAGATGAAATATGCAATCACACACAAAGTACGACAGAATTTACTATCAGTAATTTATATACTAAAAATTCCTTCCAAAGTATAGAATGCATCCTCAATTAGTACTGTTTTCAGTGAAATCTTCAATCTGAAATAGGTAGTTTCATCTTTGAAGTTTTGGGAATTTTATTAAAAATTCGAATTCCGATGCTTAGAGGACCGTTTTGCGCTAGGTTCAATCCGTTTTGAGGAGAATTCAGCAAATGCTGATTACTGGTGGAACGACCGTGGAACGACAGATCAAAGTATTTCTACGTTTGTAAATGTAACAAGCAGATCACAACTTGGTGAATTTTGCATCGTTACTTGCGCCTGCACCCCTACGAAATTCAGCTGACCCAGAAACTGAAGATGAACGACAATAGACAACAACGTTTATTCGCTGAATTGGCTCTGGAGCAGTTGGAAACTGACCCTATTTTCCATCGAAAAATCATCTTTAGCAATTAGTCCATTTCTGGATGAATGAATACGTGAACAAAACATTTTTTTAATTTTGGGACGATACCAATTCACATGAGATTCAAGAGCGTCCAATGCATCCCAAAAAGTCACTATTCGGTGTGGATTTTGGGCCGGCAGCGTCATCGGTCCATGTTTCTTTAAGAACGAGGTTAGCCAGGACATCATTGTCAACGGCGACCACTATAAGTCGATGATTACCAACTTTTTCTACCTGAATTGAACATTCTGGACACCAACGACATTTGCTTCCACTAGGTGCTACGTGCCATACAGCTCATGCCATATTGGATATTCAGCACGAGCGATTTGAGGGCATGGTCATCTCATGTGGAGGTGATGTGAACTGGCCACCAAGATCGGATGATTTGACCCTGTTAGACTTTTTTTTTGTGAGGTTTTCTCAGGTCGCAAGTGTGTGCGAATAAGCCACAAACCATAGCTGTCCTCACAGAAAACATAACCCAAGTAATCAGTCAATTTCAGCCTGATGTATACGCCAGAGTCATGGAAAATAGGACGTTTCGGATGCGCTCCACGCAGAGAAGCAGTGGCGGACATTCAAACGATGTTAAATTGCATACATAATGGCATCAATAGATCTTTTGAATGAATAAAAAATGTCGATGATATGTTACACACATTTTGCTTTATTCAAATTCAAAGATAGGAAGCGCTTAATGAAAGACCTATATTTTGGAAAATAATTGTGAACGCAATAGGGCCCAGAACCACTTGAGTAATAGTGGTAAGTACACTTTATTGTGAAATTTCCGCTGAATAGTTCACGAAACCATAACACGTGTTTCACTATGCAAGAGTTTCTTCAGGCGTGTTGAAAAAAGTGTTGTAA